ATACAGGATGTGTAGTTCTTTATTTCAAATGTACGGTATGTAATTTTACTACTTTTGTTTCTTGAATTCCAGAAATTTGCATTTACATGATGTACAATGTACATGTACATGATCATTAAGTAATTTTTCATCTTTATATGATACAACTGTATAACATACTGTGTGTACATGTAGATATATGATGCTATTGTAATTCATCCTTGTGAGCCAGGAGTAACTGAATGGATCAATGTCTACAACCTAAAACGGTAAAGTCATTTATTGATATTTACGATAAAGTACTAGTACTACCAACTTAATTTGAACACTTTTAGGTGCGTCTTGTAGTGACGGACCAGTTCCTGATCTTTGTTGGATGGGACAGGGTCACCACTCCCTTGTATATCAGGATTTGTGTATTTTAATGGGATTAATGGATATATACCGTAAAGTACAAGTATTACCAACTTAATTTGAACACTTTTAGGTGCGTCTTGTAGTGACGAACCAGTTCCTGATCTTTGTTGGACGGGACAGGGTCACCACTCCCTTGTATATCAGGATTAGTGTATTTTAAAGTCATTTATTGATATTTACGGTAAAGTACAAGTACTAACAACTTAATTTGAACACTTTTACGTGCGTCTTGTTGTCACGGATGCTTGTGTTAAAGTTAGTTGATATCATGTACATGTAGCTATAATTTTTTGACTGTTTTATCATAGATTGGCTACAGGCAAGGACAACCTCAGCCTGACATGTGTTAATCATTTGATTGTTGACTGTTGAGTTGGGGGACTACTGTTTGTTATCCATTGTACCTGTTGAATGGACACAATGCAGTATCAGTAAGCCTTTTCTAATACATGTACATATAATACCGTATGACTGGTAATTTTTGGTTCCTGTATTTCGCAAAATCTACTAACAATCCAATTCGCGGATTTTAATTTTGTGAATTCTACCACGTGTACCATGCAGGTACCGTATTAAATTAATTTTCGTGAATCAATAAGGAATCCGCGAAATCCATGAAGTATGCAACCCACGAAAATTACCGGCTATACAGTAATGTCTGTCTTTAAATTATAAATACCGAAACTTAAAAGGAATTAAAAAGTTTACCACTTGTGCTGCTTTTAAATTTTTACCATGCACTGTTTATCAATTATGCATTGAACTTCAAATATTTTTTAAATATTTGTGCATATCTTATTATTCTTTAGAAACTTACTTGTTCTAGTAATTAGGTAATTTTATCTTCCTTCTCTCATTCCAGACTCGGTTGCAATGGAAGTTGATGTTCTCGTTTTCCTGGTGTATGGCAGCTTAAGTGAAGCATGGATTTCAACAAATAAGCGAGTAGGAAACTTGCCATTATTGATTCTACCAGATAGCACTGCTATTTTTCCATTACTAAATGCAGTTTTGTTTTTATTGATAATTCTATTTATTGTAGCTGTTGCG